CGGCGGCGGGGGGGGGGAGAGCACATGCACGGGTCGGGGAGGTCGGCGAGGTCGGCGGAGGGTTGGGTTCAACTGGGGGCGATGCCAGGCCGGGGACGGGGGAGAAGAGTCCCGGGAGGGCCGCGAGGGGTCACATCATTCAGCCGACTGGCAGGGAGGCTGCTGTGGGGAGGGGAGGGGGAGGGGAGGGAGCTCCGGGCAGATGGGGCTGCAATCCTGTCCCTGCACGGCCAGCGCGCATCTTCAGACACCCTCCCCATCCAGGAGCCTTCCTTCCCCGTTTAAATACCGCCGCCGGGTGGAGACTTCGGCGTTGTTGTCGGGGGCGGCGGCGCCGCCGCCGTGCTGGCCTTCGTCACCAGCTGGCTATACGGCATACCACACGCCGGCAGACCGAGGCTGCGCGACGGCAGCTGCGCGCAACGCTGACCGTTGAGTTGCACAGAGGTCCACTCCAGGGGCGCCTCGGACCACCCTTCAGAGGAGGTAGTGGGCTCAACCGAAAAGGTGAAGTTGGCAGTGCCACCGGCGGGGGAGATGGAGGCGGCTCCGGCGGTGTTGACCACTCGCACGGGGGAGAGCTCGCTGCCTGGGGGCATAGGGGAGGGATGGGGGGCAGAAGGAATGCAGCGGGGTGCGGGGTCCATGCGGGATGGGGTGGAGAGGGACGGCGCGGGTGGGTTGCGGAGGTGATCGACTGGGTGCAGTCGCGGGTTTCGAAGGGGTGTATTCCTGGGGGAGGTGTAATCCCGCGGTGGCGCTGTCTCTCTGTACTGCACACTGTGGATCCACATACACACATGTAACAGAGCAGCTACATTGTTTAAGGTGTGGACCCCTACAACGACATGTTGGCGATCGTCGTACATGGTGGTTGGGTTGTTCGGTGGCCGTTGGCGACCTTCTCCCTGCCACAGCGGCTGCTACACACCTGAGGTGACGAGCACGGCCTCCCCCAGATCACGCGTGCTGTAAATCGGGTAGGAGCTGAAGCTCCACGCCAGCTGCCAGCCGTACAGACTCTCCTGCGGGTCGAGACACGAAGCATCTGGTACTATCAGAGATATTGCATGATGGTTGTTATGGTAATCCATACCCTCCTTAAGTTCTTAGATAGATTCTATACCATACTTAAATTTTCAAACTGGATATTAGCTCGTCTTTTATCATCCTAACACCATCAATAATTATTTAGCATCATCACTTACAATTTGGGGGATATGCGATAAAGCCCCGGAAAAATTACCAGTTACCGGTAATAATAATGGCTTTCCCTAATGCAATAACTGAATAATTTCTGGCTTCTTTTCGATTTCTTATATTCTCGGATTCTGCTACAGCTCGAAGAAGCTTGTCCTGCATTTATTTAGTTTGCTCTGTTGTGCTAATTATTAACGCAATATTTTTCCTCAGCAAGAAGCTGCTGCCCTTCATGTTCAATCTCTTAGACCTTCGGGTCCTCTTTGCTCTCATTATATTTTGTATATGAAACATAATAATTATTACGTGTATTATATACAATATATATAACACAATGTATTTATGTATTTAGCTTTATTAATAATCTATTGAATAATTCTACATTATAATATGCACTAAAAGGTGGCACTAAAAGCCAATAGAAACCGGCTCATAATCTACTAAATATTATTTGTACAGTGTAATAATATATGTACTTTTTATATTCATATGAAATATTTAGTATTGTCAATATAGTTAAATAAAAGATATGGTATTACGTATTTTGTATTACATTGTTGGCTAAAATTGACGGCGTTGCATTGCAGCGCGTATTACAATATTATGTAATTTTGCACTGCGTGTTACGCAGCAGACAACAATCTACGATGTCGCATTGCACTGTATTTCCACGCACACATATACACACACAAAAGCTGCTCTGGCCCTTCATCCCGCACACCTCATCTGCACGCCTCACCTGGCCGTTATTTATTATCATGCCTCTGGAACACAGCGGATTGCCGTATAGGTCGTCGATGGGAGCCGCGTTGCTTCTCGTACCACCGCTGTCACCTTCAGCCATACCACCCCCACGACCACCACCGCCACTGCCCTCCTGCTGAGTAGACTCCTTCGAGCTCCTTGGGGCCCCACCTGCAGCGGCTGCCGGGCCCAGGCCCACCAGGAACCCCACCACCAAGGGGCAGCCGCGGAGTGCTGCTGGGCTGCCGGTTAATGCCGGGGGGAGCTGGGTCAGGGAGTGGACATGGCAGTACGGCGGCCGAGGAGGAGGAGGTGGGAGCAGCGCAGGCGGCGGATGGGGCGGCACAGGCGGCGCAGGCGACGGAGGGGGTGGAGGCGGCAGAGGTGACGGGGACGGCACAGGCGGCGCAGGTGACGGAGGGGGTGGAGGCGGCAGAGGTGACGGGGGCGGCACAGGCGGCGCAGGCGACGGAGGGGGTGGAGGCGGCAGAGGTGACGGGGGCGGCACAGGCGGCGCAGGTGACGGAGGCGTTGGGGGCGGCAGAGGCGGCTGCGTAATGGAGTCGGAGGAGCCGCCGCGCAGCACCGAGGTGGCCCCAGGACGGGGCTCCGAACCCGTTCGTGGTGGAGACGGCGGCCGGAGCACAGAAGGCGGGCTCACCGCTACCTGCTGCGCAGCTTGGCGGTGCGGCGGGCCTTGGGGGCTGCGGTCGACTGGTGCAGCGGCCCCGTTCTGGCTGCTGCTACTGCTGCTGCTGCTCTTGTTCCCTGTGGTACTGTTCCATTGGCTGCCATTTGCCCCGTTGTCTCTCCTGTCGCCGTTCGCTATGGGTGGGCTGCCAGTTGCAGCGGCGGCGGCAGCTGAGGACGAGATACTGCTTGCTCCGAGTCCTCCTCCCGGCGGTGGGGGTCCTTCCTTGCGACCGAGGGGGGCGACTGGCGGTGGCGCCCCGCCGCCGGGCCCTGCGTGGGGGTCATGGGCCATGAGGGGAGAGAGCAGCCCTTGGGTCCAGGTCATTAAGAGATGTGGTGCCGCTGCGACCTGAAGGGGGGCCTAGCTGCTGCCCGCTGCTGCGAGGAGCCGTTGGATCCGCCGTTAGAGCAGTCAATCACGGCTTGGCTCCGGATGGCAACGGCCCTTGCTGAGACTATCCTCCTCCTGGAGATAGAGCTTCCGTACCTAGACAAAACCCTACAGATCGGCATGCTACCTATCGCGCGCGGAGTTGAAAGGTAGTGAAAGACCGCACCTACCTGGCATCACCGGGGCAGCTGAAACTAGGCCGGCATGGCCCATGTACAGCAGCACAAGCGCCGTAATAAGAGTAAGGGAGGTTGAGGTTTGCCGTATCGGCAGCGGCGGCGGCGGCGGGGACCGGGGCGTTGTTGGTCTCAGCGGGGGCGTCGACGGAGGTAAAGGCGGGGAAGGAGGCGGTGGCGGCGGGGGTTCCTCGGCCAGGAAATCGCCAGGATGACCGATCGGAAAGGGGAGGTAATCTGCGAGGTGGGTCTGGCCGTTCCTGCGGCGGCGAGTGGAGCCTTGGCGCACCCTTGCAGGCTGCGGTGGTGTGTCACACAGAGCACAGGGCCTACGGGGAGCAGTGCAAGGGCGACTAGGTGGTCGCCGTGGGGGCTGCCCTCCCGGTGGTGGTGCTGGTAGTGGGCCGGTCCCGTAGGCCGCAGCTATACTACCATCTCGATTGCCTGCCTGTGGTCGCTGTAGTTGTCGCGGCGAGAGTTCATCTGCGGTCTCATCCATCATGGAGCAATGCGGGCTGAAATGCGGCCTGCAGGCGCGGGTGAGAGGGCGGAAGAGGATCAAGGATTTGCTGTGGCCGCAACTTGTACAAGGAGGGGGGGCACGGGGCAGGGCGACTTGCCGACTGCTAGACGCTCTGCTTGATGTTGTTCGTGACCTGGCTGGAAGCACGGAGGAGGGCGAAGAAGGCCCGACTTTTCCTGGGGCCCTGTTGTGCACACGGCCATTTCTGTGAGTCTCCAATTAAAGGACGGTGACGCGCGGGGAATGTGGCTTCAACTGCATCACCATGGTGACGAACAAGATGATAAAGTCCGAGGATTAAAAGCCTCTGTGGCACACACATGCATATCCAGGTTGTGGTTGAGGTCTAATAGCGACAGATGCATCAGGCGACAAGGTGGCAAGGTGGCTCCGAACAGGCCGCGGATGTGGCTCGCTGCAGTTGTGGCGTCAAGGACCTGAAGGGGAAGGTGGGGAGCGAAAGCCGCGGAGTGCTTACCTTGTGATGCTTCCGGACGGTTGTCAAGGGCCATGAGGACGGGGCTCAAGGTGCGCGGAGGAGTGCATCGCCGAAAACCAGGCAGTCAGGTGAAATCATTGCAGGCCCACAGGGTCATCGAGCAGGAGGCCGTGATGACAGAAGATGATACATTTGCAAATCCAAAATGATCTTGGGGACGAGCATGACTTGCGCCCCGCCTTTGTTAAATATCCGGGGGAGAGTCTTGACAGGCGGCTGTATCGGCTAAAACGAGAAGAACCGTGGTTTCGGGGTTTTCTCGGCCCGGATCGCGGGCGTGTGGATTCGCTCCACCTTTACGACCGCACAAACTGGGAGAACCATGATGATAGTGGTGATAACGTATGGGCTGTGAGAGGTCTTTCCAACTAGGGCTGTCCGCGTAGGTCATGGTTTGAGTTCAAACCACAAAAGCTCCCAAAAGCACGCTGTGCGGTAAAGCTCAAGAAATATGAAATGAACGGTCACTTCTGGGGCAAACCAGGGCGAGGCCAGGGAGAAGAACCGGGGGATGGTGTGCGGCATAGCAAATACAACCTTGGAATGAAAGGAACAAGGAAAGCCTGTCCCACTCCTACTTGAATGATAAAAATGAAGATAGGTTTGCCTATGTTTTCTTTACGTTTATAATTATGCTTCTGGCAACTTGACCTGGCGTGCTCGACGGCAGAGACAGCCTGTTCACTATCAGCGAGATCGTGTTCCTAGCTCCCTTTAGGCCACTGCAGCATGATTGCGTTGATGTAGTATAGGTTCCCTGGTCACCTAAGGATAATGGCTGAGGCAGACGTTGGAGTAAGGAGGACGACCCAAGCCGGAGGAGGAGCGCAGCAGCATGCTTCATCAGCGCTGACTATCGTGCGCATCAAACGAAGGCGTGATGATCCCGGGGAGCCGGAGATTAGTAAGTTGGACCTTTTGTTGTGACGATTGTTCTTCCCACGCCCACCCTGACATTTTTTACTTGTTCGACGACCTATCCATACAGTCTTGGAGGCTGCTGGGGCATACAGGAACAAGCAGCCACGTTACGATGAAGTTCTACTACAGTTCCAGGGCTTGTCGGTTATGGGGCCAGCTGCCGCAACACCCACGATGGCGCCGCGCCGGCGCTTCCGCAGGCTTCGGACGCTGGATATCTCAATTTTCGAGGTGTGTCCAACGAAATCGGTCCTGGAAAGGCAGCGCGCTCGTCCGCAAATGCTATTATGAATTCTTGTGTGAAACACTTCTCGGCGGCGGGTAAGGAGCGCATCTGAAACCAGCCGCTTGCCATTGCTCGGGAGGTTGATTATACCGTTGCCCTCACCTGCGTATCGCCGAAGGGGGGTTCTTCCCTCCCACTAAGGCTGTTGGTCGTTATGGATGGCTTGAGCACGCGGAGCCGAAGCCCAGCCCGCACGTAAACACGCCCGCCGTAGGGTAAGAAGGGGTGGTCTCACCTAAGTGCTTATCGCCCCCACTTAGCCAGACAGTACCGCTCCAGCTTCCGGCAAGTCAGCGAGCGGCGTTTTGCGGCCATGCCCCTTCCCTCCGCTTCGCACACAACACAACAACCCGGAACCCGTCGACCCATGGGGCCCAACCCAACAGGCTATGTCGCAAAGCGAGGTTCTGCAAATGCTGCGCGCCCCAGCAGAAGGCGCAACTTCCACGAGCGTTCCGGGCGCAGCAGCAATCACCCAGCAGCAACCACCCCCAGGACCAGTACCGGCACTGGAGCCGACGCCCTCGACACTCCTCTTTGCAGAACCGGCGTCAGCGCAGGTGCCAGGCACGTTAGAGCCCGCTCAGGTGCCGATAGCGGCACCGCCGCAAGGCCTTCAGGACGAGGACGCCTTGCCACAAGCGGCACCGCTGCCTCGTGATTCGGGACCACGAGCACAACGGACTCCCGCCAAGGCGGCTCGCGGAACTTCGACAGAGAGCCGCATTTCGGCGCTGCGCACGTCCCACCAGCAGGCGGCCAGTGCTGCCCGGTACAGGCAGGTGGGTGGAGAGTGTGTATGTGCGTTTGTGTGTTGGGGTTGGGGCAGAGAAACCCTGTCCCACACATAGGGTGCCATCTTTTAAATCTCTCGGGCTCAACACGCATGCCGTTGCGTACGTCGTGATTGCATGCAACTTCGTGATTGCGGAATTTGAAATTTATAACTTTTACAAACGCGTATCGAATGGAGGTACACATCCACGTAGGCGTGTATCTCCGTGCCTCCGCGGCGTAGCCTTCAAGCTGCACGCGAAAACATGCAGGGCACAACCGTGAACAACCCCCAAGCATGGGCCCAACTCGGGAACGGGTCATGCATGGACGCTTATTTGCTGCGGGCCCGCATTGCCCAGCTGCGGGGCATGACGGCATGCCAAGCGCGGAACACACGCTTATACAGCGCCCCGCGACACCTCAGGATCTTACCGTAGCAGCTGCCATCGCGATCCCAGGTGCATAGGAGGCAGCTAAGATGCTGTGTTCTCGTTCAAGGTTGCTTAAACAGATATTGTTAACGTTCTCAGAAAGACATATGTATCCATCATTCGCCGCGGCCCCCTGTCCTTGGTACGGCGGTAGGTCCGGCGGAAGAGGGATGCGGCGGAGGGCAGCGAGGTGGGTGGAGAGGCGGGTGGCCTCCTCAACATGTACGACCTGGAGCGACTGCCCGCTGCCAAAAAACCCAACACCAGGTCCACCGGGCCAGGGCGCGAAGACCGCCCGGGGACCCGGGGGCGCTGCGTCGCGAGCATTCAACAATCGCAGCAGGCGCAGGCAGTGCCACAGCTGCTTCCGCCGCAACCGCAACTACAGGAACAGCAGCAGCAGCAGCGACATCCCGCCCAGCAGTTGGTGCCACCATCCCGCACATTGCCCCATCCGTTGGAAAGCCAGCAGCCGCAGCAGGGTCCGCGGCCGGCGCCCGCTCAGCAGCAGCCGGGGATGGCTTCGTTATCCCGCTCAGCAGCACCCAGTCGCGAGGAGGCGGAGCTCCTACAGCGCTATGCACCTCTGGTGGGTTCCTGGGCAAGAGTGTTTGGGGTGTGTATATGTTTTGGGGGGCCCCCGACTGGGCATTGAGGCGGCTGTGTTAAGATGCAGCCAACAGTGACTGCTTTAGCAAAGTAAACTATCCAGCCAATGGCCGGACTGTTGATGTGACTTAGGCACTAGGGGCTTACTGCTTTCCACACGCGAGTGCGAGCGCGAGGCAGGGCTGTGCGGGATTATCGCCTGTAGAAGAGTATCAAGCTTGCAACACTATGGCCAGCGCTCTTGTTTGGAGTGTCTTGTCGGCGTTCGCTGTCCGCCTGCCGCTCCTTTTCCTTGGTTCCCTGACCCCTGCTGTCGTGGGTTGCGCGCTCCAACCCCGTAGGTGGATGAGGTGCTCAAGAGCCTGAGTGTGCAGCAGCCGCAGGAGGTCCACAGGATTCCCGCGAGACCGAAAAGGGCGCAGAAGGGAGCGGCGGCGGCAGGGGCGGCGCGAGCTCCGGCACCATCTCACGCACCCGCACCTGCAACTGCACCCGCACCTGCAACTGTACCTGTGCCAGAATCGCAGCCAGGTCCAGTTGCAGCAGCTCCTGCTGACCCATTTCATGAGGCAGAGGCGGCCGTTAGGGCCTGCGCTGCTGGCGGTGTCGCGGCTTTTGGAGCTACAGCCGCCGCTGCCGTCGCGGCCTCGGGCGGGCCTCGGGAGGTTGGGTGGTCGTCTGGTGGGAGCGCTGGACATGTGGTGGCAGGGGCGGCGGACGGCGGAGGTGGAGGCGGAGCGGGGGATTCGCGGATGAGCGAAGACGGTGACAGCTTTGTGTACGATGTGTACGTGCCTGTGTATGATGACGCGGAGCCGGGCGAGCAGGACGGTGCTGAGGAGTCCTGGCCGTGGCTGGATGCGCCGGCAGCTGTGGACATGGCCGTGCCGATCATCGAGGTGCGAGATAGTGCCATGTGCGCATCGCGAGCTGGTTCGTGGGATAGCCACCCGGGTTGGGTGGGTGGTTGGTTGGGTTCTTTGAATGAGGTCATTGACATCACTCACTGAGTTCATATGGGCCACTGACTGAGCCAGCTAGGTAGGCACCGGGTATGTCGACGACTCAGTCGTCCAACTGGCAGCTGATCACGCAGTCATAAGCCAGTTAATGCATCACTCAACTAGCCTGCTTGCTTGCTCTGTCAGATGGTCAGCTAGTGATAGCCAGTATGCAAGTTGTGTATATTCAGTGCAGGGTGAGGCCTCCTTAGGGAAGAGGGTACCCCGTACCGGTGTGCAGCCCGCCGTGCCGCTGCTGGCTGTGGCACAGCGACCAGGGCGACGGGTAGAGGAATATGTATAGGACCTTGTTGAGCGGAGGAATGGGGGCCAGCGGGCGGACAGCAAAGGTCAGTCGGGAGCGCAGGGCGTCTGGCGCCATCCGCCGCTGTGGAAGGAGCTCTTCATCGCGAGGCTTCCGCCCTTCCTCTCCCGGGTCCGGTCCGTGTCCGGGCCCGGTTTCACCGCTCCCGGGAAAACCTCCCTTTCGTAGGTCGCTGAGAACGATGACGAGTTTTTCTGGGCGGGAGAGCTGGATGCGGAGGCCGCACAGCGGGCAGCGGCAGCCGAGGAGCACGACAGCGAGGACTCCAACGCGGAGAGCTACTACGCCAACTCCTACCCCGACGAGGAAGACACGCCGTACGGCAATGGCGCCGGAAGCAGTGACGAAGGTGATAATGAGGTGGAGCCGGCGGATGTGGACGCGGGTCGGGGTTACGGCTGGGGTTCAGCACTGGCGATGCGGCGGCGGGGCCCGTTCAGCGATGATGACGATGATGATGATGAAGATGATGAGGACGACGCGGAGGATTTCGGGCGGCGGCGCCGCCGGCATGCGCAGCTCGCCAAGGTCTCGTCGTACTACCGTACAGAGGACGATGACTACAGTGAGCACAGCAGTTTTTTGAGCGAGGAAGACGAGCGGCGGGAGATGGAAGAGCGGCGGCGCAGGGCGATCTTCATGCACTGACAGAGAGAATAACAGCACACTGCAAGTGCTTAAGGTCATGAATCTTGTGGGAAAAATACGGAATGAAGAGTCCACAGTATGGCCTGGAGACACAGCCATCATGACACCGTCGATCTTCCTGAAAGCCTCCTGGTGTGCGGTCTTCGACGATGTTTTTCCCATTATGAGCGTGTACTGGATTAATTCTTAATTGGCCTAGGGGTTGCTGGATCCTGAATGGCAATGCCACCACTGCTAGGCGTAGCTCGACGTTCCTTCGAAGGTTGCCGGGGAGTGTTGGCTTCTTGGGCTCCTTGGGAGGGCGGCTGTCTTAGAATGTGTCCCAAGATGAGCGCAGCCGTCGTGGCAGTTGTCGGTTGTCGGTGAGGCAGTTGCCGCCACATAGCACGCCAACCTTGTTCGCGGTCACCTGCTCTAGGTGCCAGCAGCTAGTCTGGCGCTTCTCGATTTTATCGCTGGTTGCGTCCAGTGGTACCCCTGGAGCCCGCCACCTGCGGGGAGGCTGTTGCATAGAGGATCTTGATTTGGAGGTCGGGTAAGGCTTATGTCGCGCATGCTAGTGCGGTGCGTCAATGTGTACTTCATTCGCTTGTGCGACTGTGTAGAGACATCGTTGAGGGACACTTCAGAGCGGCGCTTTGTAGCAGCGTCCACTGGTAACTGTAGCAGCTTTGGTCATGTTGAATTAAGGCAGCACGGAGATGTGTGTGTGTGAGAGAGAGGGGGAGAGAGAGTCATGGTCGTGGGGATGCGTACCCCGTACCTGCAAACCGCCCACTACGAGCCGAGGGCTCATGGGCTGCCAGATCGCCTATAAGCGCCATCCTAGCTCGCACTCCAGACAAAGGAAGTGATGAAGGAGGTAAAAGGGTGCTGTGGGATTAAATACATACCAGCATCTTTGCCAGACATTCAGGTTTCGACTTCATAGTGTCCTCAGAGCGTGGGACATCCATATCAGATCTGACTTCGCCGTACACCGGACAGTCCAACAAGACGTGCTGCTCATCTTTAATATGGCTATCAGTGCCGCAGCAGGGGCATACCAACAACATAACGCCGTCGCCTTGTGTGCTCTGTTCACCGCCAACACCCAGCAAAGCCTAAACTGCAGAAGCTTATTGCATTTCGCTGAACGCGGGATAAATATTGTGATATGCGGGGGAGCACTTCCTTCATGACCGCTTGCTCAGCCGCCAGACCCATAAAATGCGGGATATTTCGCCATGTGGATTCCCGGTTGCTTACCGCTACACGTCTGGCTGGACATCTAGACGCGTATGCTTCCAACCGCTAATCAACGAATCCTTGAACTCCGATACCTCTCCTTCCGGCAATATGGCCTATTCATTAGGTTATTGCAGATGTTGGGGGCCCTGGATACCGCACAAGAACCATCCTGCGACGGCCTTGCATAGTTCCCGCCTTGAGAAGATTTTGTTGGTCTTGGATTGTTATAGCATGGCTACATGTTGATGCACATATGGAAGTTAAGGGGGCTACCAGTTACAAGGGGTTACGTTGTTAAGGGTAGTAAACACCAATGCCCCTCGAGCCAACCGGATCCAGTGCCAAGGCCAAGGTCGCAATGGACAGCCTTCCCAGTTGGGAAATGGGCCTTTAGAGTGTCATATAAGTAGGACTCTTGTGGAAGGACAACTCTGTGAAGCCTGTGATAGAGAAGATCAATATCACACAATCCCTTCTGGTCGTTTCTTCAGGTTCACGACATACATAATGTCCACCCACTCGTGACATATGTGCATGATGTCCAGTATCCAGCATCACTATTGTACGGCATTACGACATCGCAGTTTCATCGCATTATCCATGTACCTATTTTAGAGGCCATGTTAATCCTGCGTCCTGTAGCATATACCTAGAAGATGACGCGGAGAGCTCAACACAACGTTATAATATAGTTCGCCGTGCCATACACTTCCACTATACGTCATCAGCTCACCATATACAAGTAATACAACGTCCTACCTAACCATGAGCTCTTCACACGCATATAAATAAATGTATAATCGCTTGCTGTATGCTGCCATTGCTGCCTCGTATCCTCTTACGCAGTTCGCAATGTCCTACCATACACGTGCACTTCAGGGCACGAAAAACGCAGCACCCGGCCAGTTGCGCCACTGCCTTATGCGCCTTTTTCGCATCCCCCGAAGCTGCCCTCAACAACATCGCATCCCAACAGACGTGGCAGCATATCCGGAGTCTCATCCGTGCATACCATATTCGCTGCTAATGGACCCCTCGTCACGTTGCGGGATTACGCAATTTTCTCCTACCTGCCAACCCAACCCGTATAACACTTGCCCGGTATAAATAACACTCGCCTGCTACGGTACCGAGCAGGGATGAATCGCTCCTCTCTTACCAGGCGGGTCGCTCGGACCCAGCCAACTGCGGCAGCGCCCAGCCAACTAGCGACACGGGGTGCCAGAAGTCCCGATGGTAGCCCGCCTCAATCCAGGGCCTCATGAAGATCACGCTGCTCAGCAAACAAAACACCATCGATGCCAAGCGCAGTGTGGCCCATAAACAGCTCACCCCGGCGGACCCCGGTGACACATTCCCCCGGACTGCAAGGCGCTTGATGACGGAAGTGGCAGCCTGCTCCAGCAAAATGGCGATGCCGTGTGCAAGGAAAAAGGCCATCTGCCACCCGCGCGCTGCACCAAACGCTGCCCAGCACATGTACTCGTGAATGATACCGCTCAGCAGGAACACCGCCAGCAGTGCCACACCCTCCTCCACAGCGGTGCCACTTCGGCCCCGGCCGTCGGATGCATTCTTCAAGCGATTCGAGTTGCTGCTGTTGTTGCTGCCATTTTTGTAGAACAGGCAGCGCACGGCGGTTCGTGCAGGGCGATACGCAAGCCTCACGAAGGTCAGGCGGAAGAGCTGATGCCAGCGCTGCCACAGCTCGCTGACTGATAGCAGGCCGCGCCAGGGCTCTCGGAACAAGTGGGGACAGCGGTACAACAAGCTCGGCTGCGCCAGTGACAGAGCAAGCACAGCGGCCTTGTACATCATGGTGAAATGGAGGTACAGGCAAACGGTGAAGGCGGCGGAAACTTGCAGAGAGATGACACTGAGCAGGGCCGGAGCTGAGGCGGTGGAAGCTTCACCCAGGGGCTTGACGTACAATGCCAAGAGACAGTCGTACAAGATGTACTGAGAGACCAGTTGGATGAGCAGTCTGACGGCTGCGGTCAAATAACTATCGTCAGGAGCCGCCAGAGGCTGCCGTTCGAGTTCGGGGCGCCTTTGGCTGCTGCCTGGCTGCTGGCCCGTGCCGCGAGAGGACTCGGTCTGCCCGGATACCCTTCCGGCGACCGCTTTGCTCTCGAAGGGAAGGTACACGTCCCGGGCCACGGCAAGGGCATATTGCCAGTTCGAGCGCGGCGTGGGGCAAGGGTCTTCCAGCAAGCAATACTCGATAGCACGGAGGTACACGGTGAAGTAGGCCCCAGCCATCTGCAAATTCAGGCCGCCACAACGTTACGCAAGGACGGGTTTTCGGAAGTACACGGTCTTGTGTTCAAGGATGCGCGCGATCGGTTCCCTGGCTTCAATATGCGCCTTTCGCTCTGACCGGGACAACAGACCTTTGCCTGCAGGATACGCAGTCTCAGCCGCCCGATTGTGGTGCATAAATACAAAGCATGTTACCTGGACAGAAAGAGCTTTAACAAAAGCATCGATGCCGAAAGGAAGAAGGGCCAAGCCCACCGGACCAGAGACAGCCAAGTATGCGTATCGCAGCCGCTTCCATCTAGGAAAGTGGCAAAGTAACGCAAAATTCAAAGTTATAAGGACTGCGCTTATTGCTGATAATAGGCAATGTATTATGTGCGGTGCATGGGGCGCTATGGCGTTTGCTGCCATAATTCAAGAGAGAAGAGTTCAGTACCTTACAGGTCGCCAATAAATTAAATTGTCCAATATCTATACCTATGCGTGTAAGCGTAAGCGTAACTGTAGGCGAAGGGCGCGTTCCGTGTTCCGCCCTGGTGTTCCGTCTTGTGCTTGCGTTGGTCGTACTTATTAAAGCGCGGAAAACCTCGTTCAAATGCCAAGGCCCGCGACTCTATCACCAGATTCTTTCGTAACCTGGAGGATGTCCACGTTGTACACAAGTTTTGGTGTCCTCTCTACGTTGATCAGCATGCCCAGCCGGCTCCACGTCACTAGCCGTTGCTTTACTGTGCACGCAACACAGACGTCAACTACCGTGTACTAGTTAACGATCTGGCCATGGCCACCGAGCTTAGTCATCCAGTAAACATTGCTACAGCGCGGTGAGCGAGGACCACGGATCCCGATCGAGGACAGCCTTGATCCTAAACAACTCACTAAACCAGTGCTATATACTTATGTCTATAGCACACATGTCAAGTTCTGAAGCCAAAGCTGTAACAGTTTAAGTCACAAAGGTTCTTGTGCTCGTCCGCATTCACGACGGCTACCCTCTATGCACCACCTCTCTGATCACGCCTCACATATCCTCACCCCCTGTACTCTAGCTGCTATAATATTGCATGCCCATCGCTATTCGGTTCTTGCCCCTCCTCATCCTGCAAACTTGCGTTCTCTCGCGTTTGCCACACGCCGCCGCCTTATATGCATGTGACCCTCCGTTGACCTCATGCAGCAAAGCCTCGCTCCCAGCCACTGCATCCACCGCCTCTGCCCCTGCCGTCAAACCCCCATTCGCATTCGCGTCCGCATAATGCGTCTGCAGCCAGCCGTGTGTTGCGTGTGCCGATGGCCACTCGCTTGCATAGTACCCCTGACACGCCTGCTGCGCTTGCCGCAGTATGCTGTTTCCGCGACAGTGCCGGTGGACGGCGACGATAACGAAGCGGATGGATTTGGAGTTGAGACTGCGCTGTCGGGGGCAGTGTCCTGGTCCGCAGCGGGGTTCCGTTGCTGCAGCCGGGACATATCATAAGTTTGCAACTGCGGTATCTGGGTAACGGACGGAGCCGCCCCCGCGTCCGCCGTCGGCAACTGTGTTTGCTGGAGATGCTCAGGCTGTGAAACCAGATCCTCGGAGGTCTTGGATGCAGTGGTGGATGCAGTGAATTCCGCATCATGGCCGCCATGTCCCTCCTCCACAGCTCCGGTGGCTGCTGCACCACTGCGGCCGGCTGGGAGCTGTCGCCAACTGCAGCAGGCTGCAGCAGCAGGGAGTCGACTTCTGGAGTCCGCACTGGGGCCCCCAGTGTCTCCGTCCGCGTCGGCTGCTGGACCGCCGCAGCAACGGCCTCCCGCCTCCCCCACCAGAGACGCACCGAGCGGCATCTCCTCCCTAGCCGGTTCCACCCCCTCCCAACTGCTTCACTCCCACCTTGACCGTCTCCTCCACCTGGCTTACTACTCCGACTACCTCCTCCTCCTCCCCCTCCTCCTCCAATGCGACCGGCTTAACTGCCTCCACCAGTTCCGCTGCCGATTACTCTTTCCCTCCGACTAATGTCGTATTTGCCTCCACCATCGCTACCACCGCTTCTGCCTCTGCGGCCGTCTCCATTGCTACGCCAGCCTCCACCACCTCCACCTGCTCCCCAAAGGCACGCCGCAGCTCAGTCCCAGCAGCGGGCGCTGCCTCTCCCTCGGTTCCCGCGACATCCGGCTCGGCATCCGCCGCCAACTCCGCTTCCTCCGGAGCCGCCGCCTCACCTCCTGCCTGCACATGCACATCTGCAACACCCAGTGCCTCAGCTTCCCGCAGCTCTACCGGGTTTCCTTCCTTCCCTGCAGGCTGCTGGACCTCCTCCTTCTTGCCCTCTTCCTCCTCCTCCTCGTCCTGATCACCGGCAGCGCCCTGTTCCCGGAGCACCTCCCCGCCACCGGACGGAGCCTGATCTGACTCGAGCTGCGTCCCAAGCTTCTGTACCTCCTGAACGACCGCCTCTGTTTGCGGCTCCTGGTCGGTTGTCTTCTGAGGAGAGGCCGGATCCTCAGAGGATGTGTTGGTTGCTTTGCCGGCGCCGCTGTGCTCGGCCTGCTTCATTCCCGCCTTCATGGCCCCTCCGGAGCCCTGCGCAAGCTCTGCCAGCCACTGCACCTCCTCCACAAACTCCGGGTCATCTGCCAGCGCATCGCGCGCGTAGGGAGGCAGGCTGTACAGACCGTGCTCTCGAGCGTACTCGCGGTATGTGTGAAGGAGGTCATGACCAGCCTCCACGGGCTTTCCTGCCCCTGCCGCAGCTTCAATATCCTTCGCCTCCTCCAGCTGCTCAGTTCCCTTCGCCTCAGCTACTGCAGCCTCCGCTTCCGCTTCCGCCTCCGCCGCCAAGTCGGCATCCCCCGCCGTAACCGTCGCTGTCTCCTTTGCCCCCGCCGTTGGCCCCTGCTCTGCCTTCGGCGGCGCAGCTTCCTTGGCTGCTGGGGTCACAGCTTTCTCCGCTTCGGCTGTTTTGCCAGAACTCTCCGCCTTCGCCATCGCAGCCTGCTTCGCCTCCGGCGTCGCTGCATCCTCTGCGTCAGCCTCTGCAACATCATTTGCCTTCGATGACGCCGCCTCCTTGGCCGCTGGTGACGCAGCCACCTTTCTCTTCGCCGGCTCGTCGGAGTCCTCTCCCTCCGCGAGTGTCATCTTGTTGTCCGCCTCCTGTTGGGTGTCCGCCTCCTCGTCATTCTTGGATGCTGCTTGCTCTGCCGCCGCAGCTTCTTCCCGAGCAGCACTTGCTGCTGATATCGCCATCGAAGTCCGAATCAGGGGCTCAACGTGGACATCCTCGTCCTTGTTGCTGCTACTACTAACCGCCTCCTTGCCTTCGGAGCCGACATCTGGGACCTGTTTTGTTAGTGTCAAGTCAGGAGGGTGGAATATATGATTTCAGAAGAAGAGGGTCAACCACAGCGGGTGGCGGAAGCATGCGTACGCCTGTCTGTCTGTGCTGCTGATCGCCATAAGCGCTGATAACAAGCTGTCCAAGCGTGATGTGCTCAAATGCTTCTTTCCATGCTGTCAAGGGGTGGGAGCCCAGCAAAATCCAACCAAGGAAACATATGGCCATTGACGCGATGCGGCCGGTAGGCATAATCTTAATGACAGTGCATCGTGCAGCCCAGCCCAACCCAGCCCAGCCAAGCAGTTGGCCTCCGGCGCCCCTAGCATTCCTGTCATTGGCACACGTACGGGATGGCGGCTGCGAGAAAGGCACCGATGTAAACGCAGACTTCCGTCATGCCCACTGCACAAGAGAAGGACTTGTCACCTCAGCCACCCACCGCCGCCACAGCAGCCGGACCTCCCACGCCTTCCTGCACGGACTCCACTTGCGCGTCCGTGGCATCTGTCACAGCCTCCGTCTCCGCGGGGATTTCGACCTGGCCCGCACCATGGGCCGGCTCTTGTTTCCGTCTTCCGCCCTGATCCACATCCTGAGCCGCCGGGAGCTGTTGCCGCGCCCCCTCCTCCTCCTCCTTATCCTCCTCCTTATCCGCCTGCTTTTCCTCGTCACCTGTGTGAAACGTGGCCGCATCCGCTGTGCTGGTGCCCTCGTCCGAAGACTCCACGGCCGCAGCCGCACCGGCATCCTCCACCGCATCCGCCTCTGCGTCCAGCAAGTCCTCCTGCTGCTGATCTTCATGTTCCTGGTCCGTTTCAGATTGCGCGGCGGCCAGCTCCATCTCGACCCTCATGACCTCCTCTTGAAACTCCGGGTCATATAACAGCATGACACGCATCCAGGGGGCCATGCCGCGCACACCGCTCTTGCGTGCTTCCTCACGAATGTCGTCCACGGTAACGGTTTTGACGGGGCTTTCGATGCCGTACTCGAAGGCGGTCTCCTCTTCAGTGTCGGTGACCTCAGAGCCAACATCGTACGCGTAGGTAGTGGTGACGTCATCGCCGCCGTCATCATCGGTGGTGGTGTCGGTGGTGTCGGCAGTGTCGGTAGCGTTGGTGGTGTCGGCAGTGTCGGCAGTGTTGGTGGTGTCGGTAGTGTTGGTGGCGGATTTGGTGGTAGCAGCTGCAGCGTCCGCTGTCCCATCATCCGTCACTGCGCCACCATCCGCACCATCGCCGTCGAGGCTCAACTCGGGCTGCTGCGCCGGTTGCAAGGCCGGGGAAGTGGAACCAGGAACCGGCTGCGGTGGCGCAGGGGACGTTCGGTTGAGTGGCACGGTCTTGTTGCTGCTGGTGTAGCTCTCTTCTGCCTGCTCGTCACTGCCTTCACTCCGACCGTCGACCTGTAGCAGCGGTCGCGTCAGCAGGAACAAAACCGTACATTAACAACGATGCAGCAAAAGGGGCGGCCACTGCACCGTAGTAGGCAATTCCGGACTGGGTGTAGACAACGCTCGCGAGATGTCGCCCAACCCACAGTGCAGAGCGCACACATTCTCGGGCGAACCGGGAACCATGGAACCACCGTTCCGTTCCACACATGCCCCCGGTTTTCTTCCCCCACCTTCGAGCAACGGACCCCATCCCTCAGCCAGGAGAGCCCCACTCCACCACATGGTTCAGGACTGACCTGCACCGCCTGCTCCTCCTCCTGTCCCGGATCAATCCCAGCCTCAGCACCAGCACCAGCCAGGCCATCGAGTTGCGGCGGTGACTCCTCCTCCTCCGAATAGTACGAAGCCAGGTCCGGCTCCCACAGTCGGATGAGCTCGATCTCCTCCGGGCCCAGCTGCGACGGCCGTGCGTCCCCAAGCTCCTCATTCGCAAGCGCGACCTGCTCCGAAAACTCGGGATCCTCTAGCAACATGTAGCGTAGCCAGTCGGGCAGGCGCAGCACGCCTTTCTTGCGCGCGTACCTGCGCAACTTCTCAAAGTGCTGGGAGGCATCGTCAACCCCGTCGCCGTCGGCATCACTACCGCCGCCGCCGCTGCCTGCCAAGTCCCCGTCATGGTTGGGGTCAGTAGCGGCGGCATCAGCGGGCTGGAGCGGGGCGTCATCCTTCTCTGACATGGACGATTCCACCTGGTCGTCTGGCTGCTGCTTCTGTTGCTTAGCCGCATCAGTGCCCTCCTCGGAATCGTGTGACCGTCCAAGCTGCTGCTTCTGCTGGTCCATCTCTGCCTCCTCCGGCTCTTGCGGCAGCATAAGCCCCTCCTCCTCTTCCTGCTGCTTCTGCGCCTCTTTTCGTCCAGGCGGCTCCTGTTCTTCAGGCTCCTCCTCCTTTTGGCCAGGCCGGTCCCGCTGCTGCTGCTGCTGCTGCGCCTCTTTTCGTCCAGGCGGCTCCTGTTCTTCAGGTTCCTCCTCCTTTTCGCCAGGCCGGTCCCGCTGCTGCTGCTGCTGCTGCGCCTCTTTTCGTCCAGGCGGCTCCTGTTCTTCAGGCTCCTCCTCCTTTTGGCCAGGCCGGTCCCGCTGCTGCTGCTGCTGCTGCGCCTCTTTTCGTCCAGGCGGCTCCTGTTCTTCAGGTTCCTCCTCCTTTTCGCCAGGCCGGTCCCGCTGCTGCTGCTGCTGCTGCGCCTCTTTTCGTCCAGGCAGCTCCTGTTCTTCAGGCTCCTCCTCCTTTTGACCAGGCCGGTCCTGCTGCTGCTGCTGCTCCTCTTCTTTCACGTCCTGGGGCACAGAAGAGGGCGGGGGCTTTGGCACGGCGACATCCGCCGTCTGCTGAGCGTCCCCGTCGTTGTTTGCATCACCCTGGGAGGTCGAGGAGGTCAGGCTCAGGTCTTCCTTCTCCTCCTCCTCCTGCTGCTGTTGCTGCTGCTTCCTCGGCCCCAGTGCCGCGCCTTCCAGGGCTTTTGAAAGGCTGCTCGACTTGGTTGCTACCTGCGGGGATGCGAGTAGTCGAGGAGGTAGGTGCCCCGGTGGTGATGGTTGGTGGTGCCGCCGCGGTAGCCGGCGTGAAAGAGTGTTTGCGGGCATGAGATACAGCTATAGGAGCTGCAGAGGCCCGAAATCGCATGTTTGCCAGTGCATCTGTCCTTCACTCCTTTCCTCGCACGTGCAGCTCGCAGCGAGAGCCTAGATAAGCCGGGGCCCCGGGTGCTGCATTCCGCCGCTCAGCAGCGCTATCACCAGGTGTGCGACTTTCCCCATGCGGGTGGGGCACCAAGAGCGCTGAAAGCTGCACAAAAACGTATACATTGCTTGGCTTCCAACGCCCCGCAGGCTTCCCGACCCACTCTCAGCATTGACTCCTTTTAAATTGGCAACAATCCACTGTGGCGGAATAGGAAAAGCAGGGCCCCCGCCAATTCAAGCACGGCCCAACAGGAGTGATCAGAAGTGGACCGCACCTGGGGCAGCAAATTGTCGGCATCCGCGCCGTCCTCCGCATCAGAGACGTCGATGACGAAAGGAGGCTCCTTATGACGGGCATCTGCGAGGGGGGCCGAAGTGGGGGAGAGCTTCCGTCATCGCATCCTGTGCCGGGAGCATCCCATTGCTATGATCGCTGACCTTGCCGTACACTGTGCCCGGATGGAAGCGCCGCCTGAGTGTGTACGAACTCGGAAACGTATTCATACGGATCCAAACTAACACCCGATGCCCGATCCACGGACCTTTTGCTGCCATTCATCCATCGAACTACGACGAGTAGAACGCCGGAAGTGGGCTTTCAACACTACCAACCCCCTAACCCACTCCAAACACAACGCTTACCCTCCGGCTCCAATGGCAGGAGCCCCTCCCGCACCGACTCTGGGTCATCGTCGCCCAGCTGCACCGGGAAGTCCTCCTTTGGCACATTGCCGGGGGACCCACTCCCCACATCCGCCTCCGATGGAGCCGCAGCGGACGGTGCAGCCACTGCAGCAGCCCCCGCTCCGTACATCTCGTCTAAATTCGTGTACGGAAGCTCTGTCCCCCGGGCAACTTCCATCCGGTCTCCATAGGCTCGACGATCACGGCTGCGCGTCTCGCCGCTGGGTTCGGGAGCCCCGGGCCGCTGCCTTCCGTCAGTCGGCGATTGCGTTCTCGGCCGTTGCGGCTGCTGCGGCTGCGCATGCCGCTGATCGCGGTCGAACTTGAAGCTACCCGGGCCTCGAGACCCGCCCTTGGCGCCGCCGCTTGCAGCACCAGTAGCGCCAGCAGCTGGGTCGTGTGGAGGGTTGCGCTGAGGCTGCCCCGGCCGGGACCGCTCATGCTTCCTCCGCTGCCAGGGCTCTTTCTCCACCTCCCGTTGCACCTCTCGCGGCTCCACCGCCGGCCGCACATCCAGCTCTTCAGCTGCCAGTTCCTGCTGCTGCCCTTGCTGCGGCCGTTGCTGCTGCCCTTGCTGCGGCCGTTGCTGCTGCAGCTGCGGTGGCGGCTGCTGCGGTGACGGCGGCTGCGGCTGCTGCTGTGGCTGCGGCCGTTGCTCCTGCTGCTGCTGCTGCGGCTGCTGTGGCGGCTGCTGCGGCCGTTGCTGCTGCAGCTGCGGCGGTTGCTGCGGCTGCTGCTGCTGCCCGCGTCCCGGTTTCAGATCTGGTTCCGGGGCCCGGGTGATGTCGGGCTCCAGGGGCCGCTGGGTGGGCGCGGCTCCGGATGGGAAGACCGCAGGCCGGTCCGTGGCGGCGCTCTGAGGCAATATTCGTTTGAGCTGGTCACGAACCAGCGGCTCAGCCTGGGGAGCGAGAGCGAGTTCAGGACGGTGAGGGGCGAGCGGCGCAAGACAGGTCTCCGCACTGTTCCTTACGTAAAAAAAAGGTAGCGTTGGACCCAAATCCATACCCAAGCCAGGAGACACCTAGCACCTGCCCCACCCAGCACCGCCTTCCCTCCCCCAGCGACCGCCTCCTCCCTCCTCCGCACTGCCGTACCTGATGCCATAGCTGAGTGGCGGCACCCGCCGCAGCCCCCAGCGCCATATCCACGGGTGCTTTGACCAGTCCGGGCGCCCGCTTGTAGCCGATGTAGGTGCACGTGGCCAGGAACAGCAGCAGCCCCAGCCACAATATCCGCCTGGGAAGTGGAGCCAGTCACAGTGCGAAGCAAGGGGGCGACATAAGTAGGATGGCGGTGAGGCCCTGGCGGCGGAACTAACCCCCCACGGAACCGTAACGCCAACTGACGACTTGATACGGCGTGATACGACGTGATCAATTTGAAAGAAGACTGTCGGGGGCTCCCAAGATAATGCTGGAGGGGATGCGGACCACCTGCACAGGACGTTAACTTGCAGGGCCGCTGACAACTAACAAAACCAGCAACCAACCCAGCCATGCCAGGAACGACCGACCATATGCCCAGAGAGGAGAGAGAGCATGGGGGGAGAGAGAGAGAGAGGGAGGGGGACCCCGCTGGTTTGCGGGTGTGATCCGTCCGTTGATAAAAGCGGAAGGGTCCCACTGCCTGCCCTCTCCCTCCCCACGGTACCTGTCATTCTGCTCCTGCTTTTGTATCGTGTTGAGCAGCTTGGCGCCCTTCTTGTGAAGCTTCTTCTGCCCCACGAACTCATCCTTGGCCTGGCCCAGCGTGTTGTTGCTGCTGTCTGCCGGCGTACAGGGTCCGTTCGGGTCAACATGATCAAATACAGGATAACGGCTTTCAGGGCTTCTTCAGACCCTTCTGCCCAGCAACCGGTACCTCTGCAGTGCGGTATCACCCGTAGGACACCTGGAAACTCCAACACGTAGTAAGTTCAGGGCATTGCCCTCCCCGCCCGGCCCGGCCCGGCCCCCGCACTCCCTTCCGTAGCTCCCTCCTGATAGTATCATCATATCAGGGAGGCTCATGGAGGCTCCAGGCTCCAGGCCCCAGGTGGGTTAGATCCAGCTGCTCCTGCTGCTGATTGCTGCTTGCTGCTGTGCTCTGCGTACACATCCCACACCCACGGCTCCACTAGCCCCCGTCACCAACATGGTCCCCACGCGACTGGATAACACGGAACGTCCCTGACCCGCTGCTACCCAGTCCACTCCAGATGCGCCGAGATTCGCCCGGCCGTGGACGGCGTTGAGGGAGAAAAGAAAAAGCCCGCCAGCCATGGGTTCCTCAGACCGTAAGAGACCGACCGGGGTTAGGCAAGAAAACAAACACTGCACCAAGCACCGTCGACTAAGACCAGCAGCCGGCTTCCTTATCGCCGAGGGAAGGGTGGCGAACTCTAGCGACCCGTGTCTTACCGAGCACTGCCATGGTGGCTGCCGTCTGCTCGATCTGCTGCGTGAGCATCGCCTTTGTCCGCTGCAGGCTCTCCGTGACTTGGCTGGTGCCCTGTACCGCCTCCGCCACCGTCTTGTACTCCCGCTGGAGGGCCGGCAGGCTGGCGCCCGCGAACAGCTCCCGGCGCTGCGGCAAAATGGGGGATTGGACGACGTGGCTTGCGGAGGATGTGTAAGTAATGAGATTGCGGAGAGGGTTGTGTTCTCCATTGGTGCGGTATGCGTGGATGATCATCGAGAAGGTATTACCAACGAAACTCAGAGACTTGCCGGAACTGTTTGCTCCTCTCTCAATCCCCGGACCAGATCCCCCAACCTCTGCACGCTGTCAGGGAGCAGACCATAGGCCTGCCAAGATGTGCAGGTGGAAGACGTACCATTTGCTCAGCCGCTTGCTGCTGCTGCCGCCTGGCCTGGCCTTTAGCAGCCGCTATCGCACCAGCAAGCCTGGTCAGGCACGGGGAGCACCTGGTAAGAGGTGGGTGATCTGTACATGGGGCGCCCACCCAGTAACTCCAGTAACTCCGGTCGTTGTTTCCCTTATCACCCTGTACACATGCCTTTGATACTCTGCCTGATGTAGCTCCACGCATGCATCGACGGCGTCCGCGTGCATGTCCCTGCGAGGGTAGGGAGCTGTGTTGTGCATTGGAAGGGGACATCAACCCCGACGGGGAGAGCTCACGTGTCCTGCTCCTCGGAAAGGAGCTCCATATCTCGTATCTTTCCCCGCATCCTCTGAAGGAGCTCCTGAAGCTGTTTATCTGTCACTGCCGGCCCGGTTGCAGACACCGCCGTCTCCAGGATCCGATCGATAGCTGCCTGGATCTCTTGCTCCAGACCAAGCATCTCTTGATGAAGTTCCAGCTCGTGAGGTCCAAACAGTACCACCTGTGCTCCAGCCGCCAGCGAAGCATTCGTCGTCGCCATGTTGTCCAGCTGCTTTCTAATGATCTCAAAAAGCTGGCGTCGGTCAAATCATTCCTAGATCCCTCGTTAAGCCTACATACTTAAGCATTAAGTCACCCTAATAACCAGCATCCTTACTTGCACATGATATGTTACAGCTTCTACAGTTCCGATTCTGTCTAAGACGAACGTCAAGCACGATCATAATAGGCAGAGAGGCTAAAACCTTTATGCAAGGAGTTGTAAAATAATGGGTAAAGTGGTGTGCGTCGAACATCGAGTGTGATGTACGGCGGACCCCAGTCGCCCTAACTGTTGTGCTACTCATCTTGCTTATAACATATCAGGCCGCCCTTGTTTTCTGATTAAGTCGGCGGATAACCCGAGGCCTTCCCAGCAGGCCAATATCCCAACGCGAAGGAAGCTGCTTGAGCGGTTCTCCGATGCAACGCTACAATTGCAAGATGGCAGTACGAAGAGGAAAGCCTTCCCCCCATCCATCAAATAGCCATGATAAACAAATTGTGCCAAATCCGTGGCCAACGCCCTCTATAAACAACCGCATGAATGACGAAGGACACCTGGTTCCGCTGCAGAAGAGAGAATGCGGTACACACACGGCACACAAGCCACCTTCTAAATCGCCCTCACTAACTTCACGCCCACATCATCCAAGGTTCCCAAGTTCCCCATAAACACATATTTATGTACGTAGGTGTGACCCTAGGCAATTAATCTAATGCTCTCGTCAATCATCACGCTGACAGCGACAGTGACAGCAGCGATGCGAATCTTGTGGCGGCCTGGCATGACCGGCACTCACGCTGTCGCGAGACGACACCTCACGCCACCTGCATGTACAACAGCGACTGGCGGCCAGTCACCGCCACCACGTCCGTCCCGAACGGCCCACCCAGGTCAAACGAGTTAATGGCCGCAGGCAACTCCGTCAGAATCTGCGGCGCCCCCCTCCGGGACCCCTGCCACGTCAGCTCCTCCATCCGCCCAAAGTGGGGGGTTGCCGCCGCCGCTGCCGCCGCATCGGATGCCGAGACGCGGCACAGGGCGCCATCCTCGGTGCAGAATAGCACCGACGGCAGCGGCGCCTGCTGGCCGCCCGACGCCTCCGCGCCGTATTGGGCACCTTCACGTGTATCGAAGCGCACCTGGACAGGCGACAGGGAGAAAAGTGGTTAGCGGAGGTTTGTGGGCCATAACGGTGCTCTGCGTGGTGCACAGGGGCGGGGGCGCATTGGGCAGGCCCCGCACATGCGGATGAGGGGCTCCCCTTCCACAAAAGCCACAAAAGCCACAAGTTCCAAATGCGGTACGGACGAATACTGCTTAACAACGCTCTAGTAGCGCGATGATCCATGCAGCGGGGACTGGATTTCCCCCCATCCCCGCCGTCGTGGCGGATGGCCCCGCAGCGACGCAAGGCACCTGGAGCTTATGAACCCTTTCCCCTTCCCCCCTTTTTCACCGTCATCACACAGCTCCCACACATCACAGTTTTTCCTCCCTCCCCCCTCACACACATCTGCCACAACCTCATCCGTCGTCCCCATCCATCTCTGGCCTCGAGGAGTCCGGGCCCACACACCCGCCCGATTTCCCACCACTGCACCCCACCCCGGGACCCTCCACGTGCACCTCCACCTCTCCTCCCGGCCAGTGCCCGATACGATGGTGACGGTGCTGGCGGCGGCGGCGGCGGACCCGCATCCCCTCCCGCACCCCCACTCCCCACCCGCCTCACCTCCCATACGGGTCCAGCCGCGATGTCGGGTTGTGTGAGCGCCAGTGGTCGGGCCGCCGCCCTGAGGTCCCACAGCGCCACACTGCCGCCCGAGCCCCCGGTGGCGCACACGTCAGGGCGGGAGGGGTGCACCTGCAGCGCGTGGATGACCCGGTGGCAGCCCCTGCGGCACAAATATAGGGCCCCCGTCGCCGCCACAGGTGTGCGCAGGGCGTAACGTAAGTCAGCTGCCAGTGGGGTTGTCTTCTCTTGGTCGGGAAACCCAACCCATGCTGTGACGGCTGCTCTGGCCTTACCGCTACGGCCTCAGGACATCACCAGCTGGTCCGTCACCTTATTTACATGATTTCCACCCCAACCTCACCCCTCCACGCACCTGTCCGCAGGTCCCAGGCCTGTGGCGCCCCACTCCTGCGGGGTCCTGCTGACGGGTGCTGGCGGGCAGCGCACGTCCCACGTCTCCAAGCCGCCCACGGTGCGGCTCTGCAGCAACAGCCATCCACCGGCAAACAGAGCCCCACAGCGGCCCCACCGTTGGATGGATGAACGGGACGGAGGGGAATCATATGCACGGGACGGAGGGGGAGGGAAGGCGAGCTGATGGGAGCTGCGTGCTTGGCAGGACGACAGACAGAAGTACGCACCGTCACGAAGAGGCTGCGGTCCACCCAGCGGGCGCACGTGTACCCCAAGCAGCCGCTGCCCGCCTTGTACGGCAGTATCCCCGGCGGCAGCGCGCCGCCGGCGCCGCCAGCCCTGCGCTGCTCCCCAGTGTCCATATCCACCGCCATGCCGTCCGCATCCGCGTCGGGATCCCCCCCGGCGGAAGCGGAGGCGGACGCCACCTGCTCTATATCTAGGACGAACAGCGACCCGTCTGCACCCGCGGTCAGGATGTTCTGTATGGGAGCGATGCAGGGTAGGGACGAGGGCACAACATCAGGCGGGAGCAGTAATAGCACCCAGTGGCAGCCCCTGCCGGCCCACCCAGTCCCCCGCTAGCTCCCCGCGGCCCCACCCGCTGCTCGCCCCCACCTTGGTGTCTTGCTGCATGTCCACCGCCGTGAGTGCCCCTCGGTGGGGTCGCAGCCACACCGCCAGCTCCTCCGAGCCCCCCGTCCCCCGCTGCCCCGGTCCCGGCCACCCCGGGGGCGACTCCAGCATCTGCACCTCCTTGGGCCCCGCGCCCGGGGTCCTAGGCACCATCAGACGCAGCAGGTGCAGGGAGCCGTCCACGGTGCCCAGCAACACCGTGACCTGGCCATTGCCCTGCTCGCAAACCTGCAGCAGGGCGGACCCAACCCCGAAGTGCATCAGGCGGGGTGACCCAGATGGATTGGGAAGCGCATGTGGATGGCAAGAAAGAAATCAGCGCCGTTGGAATGTGGACGAGCAGGTAGGTGTACAGTGGAGCGGGTTGTGGTGCTGGTGGTGGTGGTGATAAGGCAGGCGGTTAAGGAAAGGATAAATTAGTATAAAAAGGAAAAACGCTGTGATGGTGGTGTGAGAGGACTGCTGTTCTGAGGACTGCAGACACGTGAAGCGGCACACCATACAGCAGAGGCGGACAGCCGCCGAGAGAAGGCAAAGCAAATGTTGCGCGGTCGGAACCCGAGCTGTCGAATGTACATCCACTACGAAGGAAAGACACGCCATTGCGATTGCGTCGCCTGGCTTTCCCCCCTAGATTGCGCCACCGACCGTTTCACCTGCTGCGGTACACTGGTGTAGCGGCGCAGCCCCAAACAACCCGCCTCTGTCCCCCTCGTGCATTCATCCCCTGTCCTCCCTCCCTCCCTCCCCCCCTCCCTCTCACGTGCAGGTCGGTCATCTTGCTGGTGTAGGAGAAGGCCACCACCACCTCCTCCTCCACCCGCAACACTGAGTTACCCCGGGAGGTCACCACGAGGTCGTGGACCACTAGGAAGTTGTCCTAGGGGGAGGGGATGGGGATAGAGTGAGCGGGTAAAGCAAGGAGCGTGGATTGTGGGAGAAAGGTTTGGCGGGTGCAAGGGTATAGGGTTGGAATCGGAGGTTGGAATGCAGGGATGAAGTGCGTTTTGTGGATTGGCAGTGCATGGCTGCCAGGGCATGGGGCAAAAAGATTTATAAGCGAGGTGCTTGTTGGACCCGCCCAGTGCCTAAATGTGCATACATGTTGTCTATTGTAAGGCATTCCCTACGCCCATTAGGCGTACCTCTCCCGTGTCCTGCTGGCCCCAAACGACCATGGCATGGTTGGTGAGGCGGCCATCTAGGTCAGGGGGCCCAGCGGGAACGCTCGGAAGCCATCGAACTCGACCCGCAATCCCATCGATGCTAATCTCATGTTTGTATGCTCCGCTTGGCACAGGCATGGCCTTCCCGCCAAGCGAACGGAGACCCCGCCGCCTGGATTAGTCCGGGACAAGAAAAAAGAAATAATGGACTCTGCCAAGGGTTGGTCGCTATTAATAGAATTCACGAGTCAGAGCCTATCTTTAAGTCATGCAGAGCAGAGGTGACTGCACAAAAGCAAACGAATTACCATTACAGAGGGGTTCAAACACGACATATTACTACCAATAGGCATCAACCATGATAGCCCTGAACTCGATGCAAAGCGTGGCTGTGCTGTGCGCGAAATGGCTTCGGAGGCCAAAAGGACAAAGCCTGCATTGGCGGGTTAACGTCAACATAACTACACAATGCAATACCATTTTATGTATTGACAGAAATGCCTCCGTTCCTATCCTTAGTCCTGCTGCTGGGTCTCGCTTCGGGTTCGGCACTTGCATCGCAAGCAGAAGAAGAAGCAGAAAAAGCAGCTCCGCAACCAAATTTCATCGTCATCCTTGTGGATGACCTGGATGAGACGCAGGATAGCAGTGGCGAGCTGGCGATGCCAGCGACAAAGCGGCTGCTGCGGGACAGGGGTAAGCTCGTAAGCATCCTAACCGGAACGGCAACCCAGTTCCAGTTCACTTGGCTGTGTCTGGAACCGGGACCCTTGCTCCACATCGGTGCATGTAAAAATGCATGAAACGATTTTCATTGCGAAATCCGATTGGACTTACCATGACATGCATGCTGCGACTTCTGAAGTACGGGACTACGGTAAAGTACATCTGGAACAGCTCAGCGCGACGCACGCTACATACGCTTTAAATCCCAAGGGCCGCTCCACCATTTTGACTCCCTCTCAGCATTCCTCTTCATCCGCGTGAACGTCGTGACCTTGCGCACCCCGCCGCCATAGTACACACGGCTACAGAACGCCCTGCTAGCAGCAATGCCGTCCCCCTCCCATATCCAGATTCCTCGGCATGCTTTCATCCCCACGGTTCCACTCCACGTGTTCGTGTATTGGCGGACGTGTGCGTGTGTGTGTATTATTCCCCCGACTTCCCCCTTTTCAGGCGTCACCTTCACCAACCACTTCGTCACCACGCCCATCTGCTGCCCCTCCCGGGTGAATCTCTTACGAGGACAGCTCAGCCACAACACGAACTTCACCGATGTGCTCGGCCCACACGGTACGGCAATCGTACGCCGTACATAACGTACGTGCGTTGATTAGCTCCTCGCCCACCGACTCGGTGTGATTGGCAAGCGCCAAGATCGGGATCTTTGTCAAGAGCACCTTCCGGCCCCACGGGCACATGGCCCCATTTCCGATGATGCTGCCCTCCCTATGCTGTGTTGCCGTTGTTGTACGGGAGAACTCTTGCGTAATGAAATTCGCCGCATGGAGAGTACGGCCCTTCCGCTCACCACGTCAGGTGGCTACGCCAAGTTCCGAGCGCTGGGGCTAGATCGCGAGTGGCTGCCAACCTGGCTGCAACGCGCCGGCTACAATACATTGTATACAGGTACGGCAGTACGGCGGTATGATGATACGACGGCATGAAGCGCGATGTGTGCGTCCCGGGGTTGCTGCTCTGGCGAGGTGTTTTGCACGCCGACAATGTCCTTTTTCTATAGACAGACAGACATGCATACATACATACACGTGCACATACACATCCTCGCGTTGACTTTCCCTTCTGCCCCACGTCTGGTGTTTCCCCCGCTCGCATGAGCACACACAAATACACATACACACACACACGTTACACACGCACACATACACACACGCGCAGGGAAGTTCCTTGTGGACTACACCATCCGCAACTACGACCCGGCTCCCTCCGGCTGGTCCGCGTTCGACGCGCTGGTGCACCCCTTCACCTTCGAGTACTACTCCCCCGCATTCAGTCTCAACGGGGGAACGCCCAGGATGTACCCGGGTATGTATGTATGTATGTATGTATGTATGTATGTATGAACGTATGTATTACGTATGTACGGCAGAAGGGAAAACACACACACCGGTAATTCGTGTATTGGTGTATAGGCAGTTGGGTGAGTTCGATGAGGGAAATCAAATTCGTTTTAAGGCCAGTACGGGAAAAGTGCATGGGGGTCCCGCTGGGAGGGGGAGCCGGGGGCGGAGCAGTCCATGTTGACCGTGCGGGCAGGGATGGGGGAGGAGGTAGTGGGTGGTGTGGGGTAGGGTGAACGAGCTGTCAAGGTCGCGAAACACAGCCGGGGGGACCTGGGGGTATGTGGGGAGGTGAGGTGAGGTGAGGTGGAGGTTCGAACTCTTGACATGGAGTTGCTATTAATAAACCAGTTGGTACGGCGGGAAAGACATCTGTCCTTCACACATACACACGTGCATATAACACGCACGCACGTTATTTCCCACCCCTCCCCACACCCCAAAAAGCCAGGAGCATTCGGTTTGGCAAAGCCTCGGTATCGACCCTCCTATCCACACCCTTCCCTGCGCATTATCGTCTTTTCCTTTCCCTCTTCCCTCTTCCTCCCCTCGCCTTCCCCCTCCTCTGCCCACCTCCTCCTTCCGCCCTCCCCGCCCTCCCCGTTGCAGGCCAGTACTCCACGGACGTTGTGGGCGCCAAAGCCCTGGCCATGCTGAGGTCCGCCGCAACCGACCCGGCGGGTCGGCCCTTCTACCTGCAGGTGGCCCCACCCGCCCCCCACCATTC